CACCCTAACTCGCAAGTCTACAAGCGACAGGATGAACGGAATGTCAGAATTCCAACATGAAGAAATAAGGAAAGGAAAGCTGATAATAAGAATAAATGTCAGTATCATGAARAAATGAAATAGAATAAAAATAAAATCAAAAATGAAAAAGATAAGAAATGTGCCRTCTTGTAGTATAAAATTTCAACCAGTCAAAGTGCTTGTAAAGATTTTTTTTCAGGAGCCAATCAAAACGCTTGATAGAACAGCCTTTACCATGGTATTCTCCCTGACAACTGCTATTTTRTTTTTTGGGCCGAGAGGGCCCAGGGAACAAGGTTGCCCCTCCCCTTTAAAATACAAAACGGAAGTGCTTCAAAATAATTAAAAAAAGAGTTTTGGGCTTCCTGTGGTGTTTGACCACCACTTCTCTCGAAAATACAAGACGGAAGTGCGTTGTATTTTGTCACTTCTGGCTGAAGTTTGTCTTTTGGGTTGCCTTTGGTATTCGTTCGTACAGTATTCGGAGAAAACTAGTCATAGTAGTCGGGAGTCAAGATTTACATGCATGGTATTCTCTCGTACATTATTCGGAGAAAACGAGACATAGCAGTCGGGATTTTTCATACATAGTCTCTTGCTTATTGGTGTTGCTAACGGTAACCAGTAAACACAGACAGGTGACTGTCTGGAAATGATCACGTTCTTCCAACGTTCTTCCAACGTTGCTCGGGGCAGAACAGAAATACTTATATCCTTTACAAGGTGGAAATTCAAGTTTGAGCGCTTACGATCRTCTTTSAGGTAAATTTATATATCAAATCGCATGTACATTTTCTGTTCTTCAACTTGTACTTTTTTTACCTTTTTTTGGCTTTTTTTCTACCATTTTTAGACGAATTAGAATCTCATATTTGYGAACTCACTTTTTTCTTTTTTCGGCTAACAGTATTTCGAAGGTGAAAATTCAAGTTTTGAGAGTTTCATTCGTGTTACAGGTAAATTTTTATATCAACTCTCATTTACAACTTCTGTTCTWCAACTTGTGCAAGTATTTCTAACTTTTATGCGCTTTTTCTACCTTTTTGAGACGAATTAGAATGTGCTGTTTTCAAACTGCCATTTTTTCCTTTATATACTTTTTTCTGAACCACTTTGAAATACATTTTTGAGCGCTTACGTTCATATTACAGGCACATGTTTATATCAAAACTCAGGAACAACTTCTTTTCTTGAACTTGTGCAAGTTTTTTCGAACTTTTTTGCGCTTTTTTTAACGCTTTTCTGGTGTTTTTATCGCGCATTTCACCGTTAACACTTTGCATTCTAACTATTTGTGTTCTCTCTAGATACCCCTGACACATACCCAAGGCTTTTTCTTGCACTTTGGGTGAGTACTTTTATTGTTGTCATTAAGTTATACAAGATATCTATCGTGTAAGGCTTTTTTTGCTTGCTTTTGTGAATATTTTAAACACTTTTTTTACACTTGAAATATGGCACGCCACGTGCTATTTTTCTCAATACTTTTAGTTATTTGCTTTTTATGCTAGTAAAAATATTTTAAATGTCTACACATGTCTACACATGTCAAGGAGTAATACAGGTAACCCGAATATCACTGTTACATCTGCTCCAGTCACTGCATGGTATCCTGGTAAAACTGCTGATCTTTCTTCACCCAGGGGCTCTATAGATTGGTTTTAGAGGAATTTCTCTGTGTCTCTGCCCAGCTCCAGTTATAAAGATTGTGATGTTACAAAGCTGTGGGTATTGTCTGAGTGCAGTGAGAAGGAGGTATCACCGGGGGTTGTAGTATCTACAGCATGAAGGATCATTTTAGTGTCTTGCTCACTTTGTAAATGCGACCTATCATGTTGCRAAGCTTGACACTGGTTTCCACCACTCGTGTTCCATGTCCTTGTGCTTATTCAAGCGYATTCCTYGTAAAGTGACTGGAAAGTTCCATTTTTGTCTTYGTGTGCWACCAAAGTTTTTTCATTGGGACTTTCGAGATGTTCATCTTGTCGTTGATGTGGTATGGGATTGGTGGCTGACCTCCTTGTCTTCTATTTCAAGTAGCCATTTTAAACGACAATGGTACATCGTACCTGTAAAAATTAAGTGAAGCTCGTYGCATTCACTGTATGTTTAAARCATCTTTTCAGTAAAATAGTCAGCTAGTTGTGAACAGTCTTTTATCCAGACTGGATTTCTGCCATTCCAACATATGAAGTCTCAGTTGGTGATAGTTGTCCTMAGTTACAGATGGGTTTGTGTTAGAAGAGSCATCTGGTTGAAAACTGTTACCTAAACCAACATCTTGAGAATCACTGGAACTTTCTTTGGGTACCTTCCATAAGATGGACATTAAACCATTCTTCTGGTTACAGTGAAGCATTGTGCCATCAGGAGTAAACAACAATATGGGAACAACTGAGAACTCATCAATAYCAATAGCATCTTTGATGTTGATCTCTGGCCTTGACTTACAAACCAGAATCAATYTGGCAAACAACGGTCTGGTATCCTTGAGCTCAACGACCTTAACATCGGCTTTTACCTTAAGAGTCTTTCCTGCTTTACGCCAAGTACTTAGCTTGTGTTTCTGACGATATGCCCAACTTTCCAGATGMAACGCAATCTCGAACAATATCAAACAACTTAAAACCAATGTTGTTCTGATAACATGYCATGTTTGGTTTTCTCAGGAACAGCAGCTTTGGTAACTAGATTAAACAGGTCATCTCCCTCTTCAGCAAAAGGATTCGTGAAATTTCTTAGTGTGGTGGTCAGGGCTGCTATGTTTGCTTCTTCTTGCGTGAGGAAAGCTTTRGAGATGGYATGATGTTGTGTTGGTGCCTTTGAACATACTCCAGCTATCGCTTGAGCTTCAGATAATTTTGCAAGCTTGGGTGCATTAAAGAAGGGCGCTGTCTAGGCGCTTGGATTTAAGGTTATACAAAGGAGACCTCCTGAGACTTTCATTTTGCAAATTTGAAAGGTGGTTGCTCAGATCTATATCAAATCGATCAATTAATCAATAAGTCACTTTTTCAAAGTGGGATTCAAATTCAGTACGCYGTATGTGTATATTAAATACCTGGTTGTGTCATATATTTCCATCTTGCCAACAACAAAAGATTWAAGTCTTTTGGSCATCTTCTGGTTGCCACACCTTGCTTCCTCYTTTTCTGCATCTTTAAAAGCAAGGTCACGCATTTCAAAAGCATTTGCAAGGTTGGTCTTGATATCTAGAATTAATCCAAAAAGGAGGAATCCTCTAAAACGTTATTTGATTGATGCATTTGAATGCTCATCATAAACCTAAAGACCCTACACTTGCCATAGGCCGTTAAAAATGGCACCTTYCCCCCTAGAATTTTCTTTTTTTTAGTGACTGGTCATAAAGTATAGGGGTTAGTTTGATTGGCGATAAGCTTCTTCAAATGTACTTAATGCGTCTACTGGGGAGAGGTTGTTTTCATAATCTTCCATCATGTCGCCTAACATTTGTGGTGGTGGAGTTGGTAGTGGAGGTGCAGTTTTAGTGGGTGTAGAAGAACTTGCAGTAGAACAGTGGTCAGTTTCAGAGTAATTAGATGTGGAATATGTCTTCTTTGTAGTTGGTTTCGTGGAGTTCTTTTAAGCTGCAGTACATTTCTTGGTTGTGTTGAATTGGGAATCCAGGATTGTCGTCCTTGCCGACAGCAGTATTTCCAGTTAGATTACGGTATTAAATACAGGCGAAACGTGTAATAGTGCTGAAATATGGTATTCAGTAACGAAATTCGGATGTTGCACACCCGAGAACACTGTTTCCACAAGATAATGGAGTCATTAGACAACATTTTACAGGATCCACTCTTTTAATCCCAAGTTAGGTTATGATTTCAAAAATAGTGGAAACATTTAATCGTTGAAGACAATGTAGAATATAGGATTGTGGTTGTTAAGTTGAGAAGGKTAGAAATTGCAGTAAAAAGGTGTTAGTGGAAGAGAATGTGGCACTAACAACATCTCCAGCAACATCAAACAACATCAATTAGTAATTAATACCCTTAATTGTTCATTTGAAGTGAAAACTATATTAAAAAGGAGAGTAAATAAGGGGATGGTAGAATACCTCTTGAGTGAAATTGCATACCCTGTTAATGACGAGAAGCTCGAAAAACCATACCCTGTTCAGCGGATCATCCCCGTATAGTCCATATATGGGAGTATCCCCTTCCGGGAATACGTCTAGCCGGTGTTTTCAAATTGTTCCACTCTAGTGTGGATGGTAGGCCTAACTGAATAAATAAAAATTCAGAATCAAATTTATCCGGCATAGTGTGGACGGGGCCTTAGTTCAGTTTCGCTTGGTTGTGGTTCCCAAGGCTGATCATAAACCGTTTCTACTGACGTCTTGGAGTYATTACCATCTTTTAATCCCGGTCTTTAATACCATGGTAGGAAACTGCATTTTCAAGGCGTTTATGTGGAATTATTTATAAAACACAAATAGTTTTCCTTCTGATTGAGGGAAAAGGCAAAGTTAAAAAAATCTACTCTTGATTGTGTAAATATTAATTGAAGAGGTTGTGATCAACAAGCGAGCCAGTCGGTCAAGAGGTCAAACTCATGTTTATCTATTTTATCAAAGAGAGTGAATTTTACTCCCTAGATTGTGTCCTATAGAAAGAAAAAATTTACAAATTACCTTTCGTTGTTTAAAACAAGGTTTAGACTTCTAAGAATAATCACAGATGAAAATAGGAATGAAGGATTAAAATGACAGTGGAGGTTTAAGCGGAAGTCGCAATGTTTTGTGCATGCATGTATTTTACAGCCAAGTCACAAAATGTCTCTCAAGGGGTGATTACCCTAAGAAATCCCCTAAGAGGAGGCTAAAAGGCTACCTTAGTCTGAATGTAAGTCCTGTAAAAGAAAAGCRAAGCACCAGAGTTTAAACTRAGCAGCAATATAACTTACGAAACAGAATGCGTTATCTTGTGGTGTACTTATAACGAGTGAAGATGACAATTATTTTTGTGGCCAGCTCTTTAACCAAAGGACGCTGTACTTCTGTTGATATTTGATATCTCGACCTCTACTTGCCCTTGCATTGTTTTTCGCTTGTAGTTAGTTTGAACAAGTACAACGTTTGTTACCAAGGGAGGGAAGGAAGAAATGCGACCCACGGCTAGACTAAAGACAAAATGATTGTCGATCACTAATGATTGACAACTCTGAACTGCCCCCACAAACAGGGATGCTCGCGATCCCAAACAGAAACGGTCGATAAAAAAGAAAGGCAGAAAAGAACAACACTTCTCTCAATAGCGTATTAATAGAACAGTAAGTACCGCGGCTTGTTCGACAAAATGCTTTATATACAGTCAAACAATCCTAAAAATGTTGTCGTCGATCGCGGCACAAGCCTACATGACTGGTACAATAATGCATTGCGATCGTAGCGCGACCGTCGTCTAATGTTGATCTGAACGATTTAAAAAGGTGTCAATCGATTTATTGAACATGAAAAGATCCCAAAAGCAGTTTGAGCTAAACCTTTTGCCACTCGCGCAAAAATGATGCTTTTTGCGCTTAGCATTTTTAAAATCATTTTTTGTTTCTTATCGTACTTGATAGCTCTTAAAGCTACTATTAATGGTGGTTCTCAAAAAGCCTTTAAAGTTTTTTGAGCAGCATACAAGCATTGACTTTTTTATTATTGGATAGCTCTTAAAAGTGCTGTTGTTTTTGCGCTGTAAAAGAGCTGTTTTATCTTTTGCCGGTGATCCATTACTCTTCATCTGAGTCGACGTCGGCGTTGGAGTCGGAGTTGGGGTCAGTGTCGGGTTTGGCATTGAGCCTTAGGTAAAAATCCTTCTTTTCTGGAGGAAGGAACTTCTCGGCCATTAGATCTTTCTCTTTGGCAGCCTTGATTTTTAAAGGAGCCTTGTACAAGGGAGCCAGATCATTAGGCACCACCTCATTCCAAATTTTGACCTTCTTCCATGGTTCTTTGTTTTCTCATAGCCGTACCTTAAAGAACAGAGAAAAAGAAAAGAAAAATAAAATATGAATATAGTATGTTCATATTTTTTTTCTTTGTGTAGTTTCTTAGCGATTAAATATGTTTGTGTTCGTTCGCGTTCACTTGTTCGACTCGTGTGTGGTTTTAGACCGGACCGCCCTGCTTTGAACCAACACAGTATAACTACTCCAATCCAAACCTCATTAGGATGATGAGCCCTGGTGACATTGCCGTTCTTGTCCTCTTCTTCCCCCCAACCAAAATTTAACCAATGTACCTGTAAAATATAGAGAGAAAAAACATTTAAGATTGATTCGGCTGTTCGGCGTATGAAAGTAATGCACTTCAACACCAGTGTCTCTTAGACAACTAGCGGAAAAGTACAACTTCTTATTATATGTGAATATTAGGCGTAAAATGATGCCATTGTTTATCAATAGGTTAATACTATATAATTTTAGTCAAGAAAGTACTTCAGTGGTTTTTGTAGTTCTACATGCCCCCAATATCACAATATGAATAGAGCAAATTTTTAATGCTTACCTTTTTGAAGCTAATCGGCTCCTTGTCAGTTGTCTTCTTCTTGTGCGAATAGCATGATTTATACGTGGATTTGCAATCCAGGAACATCTCTTGCTTCATCTCTTGTACCTTAAAAGGCTTCCTCTGGTTGTCCTCTAGCACTATCTTGGCCCATTCTGATGGCAGGTGGACAACAGCACTTCGTTTTTTCTTTTCAATTTGGGCAAAGTCTGTGTCGTTAGGACGAAAGGTGTGACCACGCGTTAGAAACTTGTGGTTTATGATGGAGTACACACCTTTCCTCACTAACTCACAGTAGAGCGCAATAATAACGATATTTTTGTTTTGTCCACCACAGCCATCAGAATAACTAGTGAGCGATTTTGCTCCTGTTGAATAGATAATGTAAAAGTAAGAACGCGAAACTAAGCTAAGCCACAGACGGTGCAACATTCATAGCTCGTAATAAATTCAACACGAATTCGGGATCTTATACGTTATAATGAGATCAGCCACGAAGCAAATGGCGTTTCTGCTGGATTAAAAACTGCTATACTTGAATAACGTTTAACTTCTTTCAAAACAGTTAACGACAGGAACTACTTATTATACCAGCATATAACATCATGTTTCAGGATAAACGTGAATTCATAGAAATATTCAGTATATTTTCCCAGTTTCGTTGTGTTATAAAAAGGACCTAATGCTAGTGCTCAAGTGTTCCCGCCCTATTAAGAATGAAAGCTGGACCCCATTTCAAACCCGAAATAGTTGAAATCCGTTAAGCTTATAAAAAAATATCTTTCGAAAAGCCTTGTCATTCTCAGGCATGTAGCTTTTAAGGCAAAAGCTTTATTTTTATCTCTATATATAGGTAGCGATCATTTTTACCTGTTCTGCTGTTTTCAACAATGCTTTAGACATGACGCGACCTCAGACGCACCACGCTTTCCAATGGTCTCGTCCCACATGTACATATGACCCTGTTCTGCAACGCAGTCGTGTATGCCGAAGTTGTATTTCCACAGTTGTCATTGGTAGAACATGTCATTATGTGCGAGTGTGGGTGTGGGTAAGTTCTGTTGAAAGTCGAATGTAATCATGTCTACTGCGTCAACAGAACAGAAGTCAATGTCATGTGAGACAGCCCTCGTTAAGGTCTGCCACGTTTTCCTTGCCGCTTCTTTGTCTGTTCTTTTACAGGCATAGCCCTGTTCGGCCTTTTTTTGGTGCTCCTGTAGTTGGAGGGAGTCGCCAGAGATTTTCATTTGGTCGCACGTAGCGCACGTGTCGGATTTTTGCCGACCAAAGCCAAGATTGAACTGAAAAATAAAATAAAATAATTATTTAAAAATTATTCAATTTATTATTGAGAACTCATGGAGCAATTATTTTATTGTATTATTTATTATAGAGACATGAGTATTTAACTGGGAAATACGCTATTCCTAAATTTAATAAAGTTCTTAAATCAGTTGCTTACAAATGCTATAAATTACCAACGATATAAACTTACCGAACTATTTGGGAGTTCTAGCTACCAATAAACACAGAAAACAACAAGCTTTCTCGCACTGCATGTGCTTGACCACTACACTTTTTCTCACATGCTATGTGCTTTTCACGTGAAGTACCTTAACATTACGTAATATATATGATATACCTATGGTAGTTGTTCTCATTGAGTAACTTTGGCCTGTGTTTTTCCATGTAGTCTTGCAATATATGGCACAATTCATGGTCGTTCTGAAAAGAGAGCCAGACAGGATTAGCAATGCTATTCTTATTTTAATGCATTACAGATAAAATAATTTAAGGAGCAGCCTACCTGCAAGACAGTAGTGTCTGTACCATAAATCTTTTGTTTTGTAGCTCTTGAATTTAAGCACCACAGTGCCATCCTCAAGCAATTATACCAGGTTCTTGTTGGAAATTTCTGGACTGGCCATGGTCAGTGCTTCTTGCAAGAGTTCTAAAGGTGTGCATTCTCCCTGGCATTGGTAGCAGCTGTCCGAGCCATCTCCACGCTCTCCTTCTGTAGAGTAACTGTTGCCACAATCTTGTTCCAATGCAGCCACCTGTTCAGGGATTCGAGATCTTCTTTGGAAGAAGGGGTTTTTTTTCTGGGCAACCCTCTGCAGGGAAATGTGGTGGCTGATGTGGGTGCATAAATATTGCTGGATGTATTAGGGCAGCTGCGTGATTAGCCATTTTGTTTGAAGATAATCGCCTGACTTCCTGAAACGAGTAAATTGTAACCGTAAATTAGTTTCTTTCCATCCAAATGACACGCAAATGGAAACAAAAATGCTTCAAGCTCTAATGGCTGAAGACAGATTAAAGTTTCAAATTATCATCGTTATTTAATTATTTTAAATGGATACAGCTGTAATTGCAAGAATATCAAGATTAAGAAGGACAAAAACCAGGGTCAAAATACTTTCTAATTCATTTCTTAGATGACAACATTCTTGCATTATTCAATCATCATTATCTCTTATCTCGGCAAGCGTTCGTTTGCTAATTTCAGCACCTCGCTGTTTTCCTTATCTAATTCATCAAATTCCTTTGTTGCCRCGTTAAGGGAAGATTCGTCTTGAGTCTGAAGAAACTCRGATAGCCTTTCGAACSTTGATGCGATTATTTCAAAGCGAGTTTCCAGAAACGATTGTTCGTCACGATTCTCTGATTTGTCGAGATCCGCGACTGTGTTTCGAACGTTATTGATTTGTTTACGCCATTTGCAAATAGCCAGACGGTAATTTCTTTCTAAGAGCACTTYTTTAAATACCGAGCCYTTTTCGGTCATCATTCGCGGTCGTTTTTCCATTAATTTTGATTCAYGGTTACRGTAACGGCTGGGTAGTGGCTGGGGACTTTGATATTGTTAGCGTTATCGCCCCAGGTTTCTCCGGCTTGATAWATGGCTTGGTATATCTTTAATAGTGAAAACTAAGTAGATTTAGGATHAAAAAACTGAGGCTTTCGTTGTTCGATATGGACAATTTATTCCTTGATTATTAAAGCCACGTAAAGAGTGAAAACRAATAAAAGGGAGCAAATCTAAATACAACTTAATTCTAATTATAGTGAATACAAAGWTCTACAATCATGTRATGAGCTTAGACATAGCGACAAGACTATGAGACAAGCAAAAGTACAACAATGTRCTACTTATAATTAGCTACTACACATATCATTGATTGAATATAACCATAGTTAATACCAATATAAATATACTAATGTGAAATAATGTAAAAACATACCTCTATTCTCCGTTAAACTCTAATAATYGTACGATAATGATAGAGCGTTCTAACCCACGAGGCCAAGCAATATGATATGTGTAGAAATATAATACTAGGGAAATCAGAATCGGGTTGTAAACAAATATAAAATTACTGACAATCATTAACTAGCTATAAGCCATATCGATTTGTTAATAGGATGAAATGTAAGAGTGAAAGGAWTGCGATCTAGGTTGGTAGAACGAGGCTTAGGAGTGAGAGCAGTATTCTGATCAGTAGAAGATGCCTTATGCATAGCACGATTTATGTCTGCTTATCCTGACAAACATCTTTGTAGCATGCTGGCTCACTCAATCTCTGGCATATCTTTAATAGTGGGTCTTTAAAGAGAGCATCCAGATGGTAAGGCTTGTTTTTGCACTATAAGCCTTTCTCGTATTTGCACCAAGAATTGTTAGGGCAAAACTGGTGCCTATCTTTACATGGTATCTTGAGTGAATGGTACAGACCAGCTTTAATGGCTGTCTGCATCTTCTTTTTTTATGGCTTGATCTTTCTCCGCTGCTGTCAGTGCTCCTGTTTTCAGATTATTCCATATGGCTTTGCGATAATTAGTCTTAAGTTTTTCAATTGCAACCTTGATGAGCCTACCATTAATGCATTTGACAGACTTTCCACTAGCCATCTTTGTGGCTGTTTTTTGATACTCATATAAAGCCTTGTCCTGGACGTGGCCTATGCAGTCTAGCTTAAATACACGATTGGAGTCTGCCGTACCTTGCASGTACTTGTCCTCCCATTTGATGGTGTCTGGCGACTCTTTCCAAACAATATATTTCTTGTCAAAGGTTTTTAGTACTTCATACTTATTACATATATCGCAGGCACCATAAACATTCCATACAGTACTATATGAGTCACCATCGGTGATCATCCACTAGTAGTGGAGCTCATGGTCAATACTTCAYGCTCCTCAATAAAGATGATGATAGTAGATATAAAATGAATGACAGTTCTGCATCACTCGAGTGAGGTAATCCCCCCCTCCATCAGAGTCCTTAGAGGTGACGTCATGGCTCTTCTTACTACCCCGTGTTTTTAGTCATGTCTGTTTTTATTTTGCTGGATTGTATATTAGTTCTTGCGGCACCTCTTTGGATATTGTCCTTTTTATTGTTGAACGAAACAACATCTTTTCCAAACAATCGATGCTCCTCTAACAAGTTACCTATTTGTATAGTAATGAACAAACGAATTTCACATCATCCAAAAATGTAAACTCCATGACAGGGAATCGAACCCTGGTCTCTCGCTCAACAGGTGAGTATTTAAACCACTATGCTATTATGGATCTGGATATTTYATTTTCTATCAAGCATAGCATAGTTTTGGTGGTCAAGTGCAAACACCCATGGCAAAAGTTCCTTACTTACATCTATGTATAGATCAAACCTCCCTTCTCTGAATGATCTGACCAGTCGTAGGTAGCACAGCTGTAAATCAAGAGCTCTAGACCAGTACAAAAAAATGAGGACATGTACTTGCTCGTTCTTGTCTCTACTCTTCAAATGGTTTATGTTCATTATTGCTGATGCAGCATCAGCAGAGTCAGCTTTGTACGCCCTTATCATCAGTATGTGCAAACATGCAATAGTCACTTGATGAACATGTCAAGTGCGTGTTACAAAAAAAAGGTGTCTATGGCGTGTTAAAAAAGGCCGGGCAACTTATTTCTTTTTATATCTGCTTAAGGTTGGTTCACACRAAAATTTGGAGAGAAATCCAAGAACGTTGGCCATGCTTCCAGAAAAAATCCTACGATGAGTGTTTAGTTAAAGCTTTGCTTGTGCTTTGAGTATTTTTGGCGTTCTTTACCAGTTTGTTTTATATAAGTTACAGAGTGAGTCRAAAACAAAATAATCCAATTTACATAAAAAAGCCCAAGAACTCAAAAATATATATAGAGTGTCTAGCCCAGTATCCTGCCAGCACCAGTATCTTGCCAAAAAATTCAACTTAAAATATCTCAAATAGTTCCTTGTTGGTTGTTGTTAAATTCATAATAGTTCGTTTTATCAACCATAAATTTTAATAAATATGATCCCAGCTTTCGGCCTACTTGGCCATCCTCATGGAAATGAAAAACGTTACAATTGACAAAGAAAACGCAATCAAACCATGGCATATGTGCGCGCGTATAAAATTAAACAAAATCGTGCTTGCTTAGGAAAAAACAAACAAATACATACATAAATAATAAATAAATGAAATGAAAAATGAAATAAAATGAATAGATAAATGAAAATTATTAAATAATAATAATAATAATAATAATAATAATTAAAAATAAAAAAAATAAAAAAAAATCAATCGTCTAGCAAGCTAACAAAATTTCCTGGTAGAATTCTTGTCTACTCTTACAATATCTGCCATCCTTGACCATGACTATATATGAACAGAACAGAATATATTATTTAGTGATTAACATATTGAGTACTGTTATCAGTCATTCATTACAGAGTTACATATATGACTGCAGTTACAATCTAGGCTCTCTTTATCGGCAGTATCTGGTCTACTCTTACAATGTCTGCCATCCTCCACCATGACTATATAATAAATAGAACATAATATATTATTTAGTAATTAATTTATTCAGTAATGCTATCAGTCATTATTACAGAGTTACATGACTACAGTTGTGCCATCTAGGCTCTCTTCAGGGGCTGTATCTTGTATCCCTTTACCATGTTTGCTATCCTTGACCACGGCTATTTTAACAAAAGAGAATATAATTTTTAAAATAAATAAATTAAGATTTTTGATTCTTAAATAAGTGATTAGGTCATGTTTTTAATTTATAGTGGACAACCACCAATATGGCTTATGGATGTAAACAGAAAACTTTTGTTTCTCCTCCATGGCAGGTCTTTTAGTCCATAGTCATATCTGATGTCTTGATTTGGGAGTATGTCACGTTTTACAAAAATGCCCAAATGCACCTTGTTATTATGCAGACTTTTCTTAATGAAAGTTTTGGCTATCCTGTGTGGGTTATTATTGACATACCTCCCCAGCCCTTCTTTATGAGTTGCATCCAAACTGTGAATAAAATAAAGCAAGTCTTCATAGTTAAAATTTCAAGCTTAACGTCATATGGATTGGTCATATATAAATTTTTTTAATTTTTTAAATTTTAATTTAATTTAATTTTATCATCTTTATTGGTCTACATCATATTAACTTTACAACAGACATCTAAATTGTTATAAAAATCACAAGGAAAGAAARAAAAGGAAAAAATATATGAGAAGCAGGCCAAAAGGAAAGGTAGAAACGGGACACTAAGTACCATGCAAGGCACCCTCCAGATAAAACCTAATAATTATCMTTAAGAAAAACATACAATAAGCTACTGTTGCCAATGGCAACCACATTGCGGACCAGGCCCCAAAAACAAATATTATTAGCGTCAAAAATATTGAACAGTTCGTCTTTATAGATTTTAATGATACCGGACTTAAAGGTTTTTATACTTAGAAAGTCAGTTGCTTGTATTGATTTCCAAATCAAATTCCATAATTTAATACTACGATTAAAGAAAGAGGCCTGAAAAGTAGCTGATTTGCATAAGGGCATTTCTAAGTATTTTACCATCACTAGATGTATTTGATCGTCGAGTACGACCATGACTTACGCTCTTAATAAAACTAGTATCAATATCTATATGGCCATATAATGCCTTATAAAGAAAAACTAAATCTTTGACCTCGCGGTCATAGGTAAGTGGTAGTAAATCCAATTTGATCAGTCTTTCTTTGTATGAAAGTTGGTCTTGTTTAAGTTCTAATATCCAGCGTGTAGCTCTTCATTGCACTCTTTCAACCTTTTGCTTAAAGGTTGAGCGGCTAGGGGACCTCACTTCGGTTGCATAGCTCATTTGGGACTTCACAAGTGCAAGGTTACAGAGTATTGTGTCCTAGCATCTGATTACT